CATAGCATTTATGAACACAATATGAACATAATAAGAATAACTGTTATATGAAAGGAAATAAATAAAAAACAGGTATGAACACGATATGAACAGCGTGTAAACCAATAGTTCCTTCATTATAAACACATTCAAGAGCGATCTTTTGTCAATTGAAGTTTTATACATGCATTGCATCCACACCATTTAAGGTTCACCCCTTGTTCATATATGTTTCTGGTCTTATGTGGTTGTTCACCTCTTATTCATATCGTGTTCACCCCTTGTTCATATCGTATAAAATATATGAACACATAACCTCAACGCTATGAACACCGGGTGCAAACACTTACACAAATATAAAGATTTGGTATCAAGCTTAAAAAATAACACTTGTGTTCATATGATAGAAGTAACATGAACACAATGGTTCATGATTCATAAAAGTCGATAATATGACAATATGAAAATGGGTCGTGCATGTACTTCCATTTGAACATGTGAATTAGGTACGTATTTTAATAATTAAAGAAAAAACCTATCAATACAAGATGAATTATAAAAAATACAACACATCGTAATGAACATAATTTCGATTAAAACGAATCTAAAAAAAATAAAAATATATTACCAAGACATTCGTTTTGGTTAATTTCTTCAATTCCCGACCTCGAACTTCGATTGTCATCATAAACCATTTTAATTTTCTCACTGTTGATTTATTTTTCATTGCGTTTATCCATATTAGCTTGATCGATACCGAAACTTTTTACTACCGTGCTTTCTATGCGAATTAAAAACTGATAAAACAATGAACATGGAAGATCAAGATTAAAAAAAATAAAAATATTAATATTATAAATGTATATTTTTTGGGATTTGATGATTTGTAATTCCCCATTAATTGTTTGGGAGTTACATATCAAATTAATTTACTGAAATACCCTTGTAAATAAAATGTGAACATGACATAAACCTACAAGAAGAATGAAATTTGATTGGTTGCCATGGTTTTCAAAGTTAATACAAAATTATTGGTTAATATTTGATCTTTCCCTATATATATATATATATATTATATATATATATATATATATATATATATATATATGAAAATATGTATGCATGAGATTGCTAATATGCATATGTGTCTGCATGTTTTATATGTTATACATGCATGGAAATTATGCATGTATGTGAGTGGATTTTTCATGTGCATGCATAAGTTATTGAGTATGTGCATGTTTGTATATGCATGGTTGCATGGTTATATGAAGGGAGGAAAAAGATATTTTATTTTCAATCCATCTTTCTTTTGAGGCTGTTACAAAAGGAAAGTTTTGAAGAAAAAAAAATTCTTCTTGCCAAATTGAGAAAGTTTGAAAGAGAGAGATAGTTGAGTTCGGTCCAAAATTATAAGTTGGAGTTGGGATTAATTTGGAATAAACAGAGGCTTTGTATCATGAAAGTTGTATATTCGCGTTATGCATTTAGAGCTTTGTGTCTGAGCTCTGTTTTTTAGCTCTGTATCTAAGTTTTGTCTTTTAAGTCTCAATTTTATTATATTTTATAAATCAAATCCTTTTAAATATCTTTTACAAATTGAGCAAAGAACTAGAGGAGCTCTGGTTGCATCTTGTTATTCTTTTCTTTAAAATTAAATGTTGGTTTAGTCGAATCAGAGGCTCTAGTCATCTAGAGGGTCTCTGGTTGAATTGTCCTATTTATTTTGGAGTGTGAGTACAGAGGCTTTGGTCAACTAGAGAGATTGGTATAAAAGAGGAAGCTGTGGTCCTTAAGACCCAGAAAAACTCTGGCCCGTTGAGCTAGAGGAGTTTTGGGGTTTTGTGTTAAATAAGAGATATGGAATTCATGAATTGTGTATAAGTGTTATATGTGTCTGTCTGTTTTTTATACTCTTGAGTAACAAGCAGATTTGCAAGCATTTGCTTAAATATATTTATTTATTTGCAAAAGATGATTTAACAGGTTTTGGTGATCTTCACCCTGTAATTGCAAAGAGGAGATTTTCTCACTAGACCTTCCGGTATAACCCTCTTTTTGTATTTTAAAATATGCATTGTAGATCCAGTGGGGTCAAGGGATAGTAAGGGGAAAGGAAAAATGCAATTATTTTTCTAATGTGCTTATCTGCTGTTTTAAAGATCAACCTGTTTGATGTATTTTGAAGATACATGTTTTTATATATGTGTTAGTGCAAGAACATTCTTTATGAATTTTGAGTTGTAAAATCTGTATATAAGTTTTTTGTACTTGTGGGACCTTTGTGGTGTAAATTGTATTTCTTTTGTATGAAGTACATGTTATATGCAAATGTGGAAGTTTGGGGTGTTATAGAGGTGGTATCA